GTCTCGCACTACTAGAGAGACCCTTAATAGTGCGAGAAGTCGATATCTTAAGGATAGCTTTATATAATATAGATATATATTCAACCCTCTGACTCTCCGTCTAACGATCCCACCCCAAGGCTCTCTGACACCTCCTCAAACGAGTCAAAACTTATTACGGATTTGGAAAGTGCCTTATCTAAGCATTGTGACTCAATTGAAGGGCATCTGGATTACGCTGTATACAGTGCCTCTCGTCCACGAAATCGGATAGCCTTGGGACTGCTAGAAGACCCTCTTATTATAAATGAACGACTGTCAAGTACACGTCGCCATATTCGAGGCATCCACTCCAGTCTTGTCTACCTTAGTCTCGGTTAATCTTTCGACTTTATCCACAAACCCGAAGTGGATCTCCAATCCTATACCTACCTTTGGTACGGTTTTCCAGTTATCTAGGTAGTTGTGTCACCCAGGCACTCTACTAAGTTAGAGTCGCGCTTAGTAGAGAGTCTCAGTTTACAGCATAGCTACAGCCAGTTCTTATACCACGAGCGTGTCATTGTCCTTCCGTCCACTTTGCAATCCTAGGGCATTGATTTTAGCATTTTCCTACAGCTCCCCGGCGATACCGTGAGGACAGACTACTAGACCTATCGCTTCTTATGGAAAACAGACCCAAGTCTATCGGAGACGGTGAGCTGCTGCGAAGTGGACTGGCTTCCACCACCGATGTACGTGTATTGTGCAGAAGGAGACTCAAAATGCGGCACCTCCTCGCCTGTCACCGCCTCCGCCATGGAGATCACCGAGCCCCGACAACTAGAGGTCTACGAAAGCTCGGACGAAGATGAGCCAGATACAAACACTAGAATATTCAATGAGCAGAGCGGTGAAACCTTTATGGAGAATGTGTTTGCTATCCCCACAGACTATGATAATCTAACGGACGGAGGAAGTCAGAGAGCCGTCAGTAACATCCAGGCAGATCCTAACCATATGAGCTCTCTGGATAACCATATAGCGCCAACCTCCTCGCCTAGAGCTAGTTTGGACTGGGGAGATCTTAGCAACATTCAGCCAAGTTCTCCAATGCCATATAGCGATATGGACAACTCCAATAGATTATTTAAGGACCTATTTCTAGGGGAGGATCAACCTATTTCACCTGCAAGTGACTTCTTCATTTCCACTGGCCACCAATCTGGGCTACGACTACCTACGCACGCTCCGCCGACAATAGTCACTACTTCATCACCTAGCTCTCCAGAAGATGCGTCAGAGCACGAATCTAATCATTTTGGTGAAGACAATCATCCGCCCAGAACGGAACACGGTAGGGTACAGCGACATACAGGCATTTCCCTTCCACAACGGCCTTCAACGTCAACCCGAAGCGAGTCTCTCCAAGGAAGACCCACCCCAGCCCCCTCGGTACTAGAGGGGTCCCGCGATCAATCCTTGGCGCCAAGATCATCCGCCACCCCGAATAGTATCTCTATCACGAGTGGTTCCGTACCGCCCCGGTCTAGTGAGACGGAAGACCACTCCATAGTGGCCACTAGTCCTGGAAAAATAGCACGTCTTCGAAATACAGATCCCAATGTGCCTGATGAAGAGATTGTCCAGGACGTTCAGGAGTTGATTGAATTTGGTATCCAGAGCTATAAGGACATTTTATGGAAAACAGTCCGGCCAGAGGACGCGGAAAAGACTTTGACGAAATTTCGGCCAGGCGAATGGTTGAGCGACGATGCGGTTATGGAAACAGTCTACCGTCTAACCAATGAGCGCACTGATGTGCACGTCATTGAAAGTCATGACTTCAATGCCGTATATGAGAAATGCGATACCAGCAGACTTCGCAGGTGGGAGTCAGCCTCGATCGTCTTAATTCCAGTACACCAGCTTTCACACTGGTTTCTTATCAGTCTAAACTTTGAGGATCGCAAGATTACTATGCACGAGGCAGATGATCCGAACTACCGAAACATTGAGCTGTTTATATCTTCGCTGGTTGATAACACGGGCGAATGGACGGTAGAGTATCAAAGTGTGAGTTGATTCCTTCTCTAGACAACCTTAACTATCTAGTATGTCCTGACGATAGCCAGGCTCTCAAGAATGATGGTAACAATAGTGGAATAATTTTACTTAAAGAAGCCGAGGCCATTCTCGATCCTACTATGGTAGATTGGCGAAACTTTAACCTTCTCAGAAAACGATATCTACTTATTATTCTATATGATATCATGGGAAGTCAACGAGATGCTCCTACTGATAAGCTATCAATCGCCGCTACTAGAGAGAACAATTCCCACATATTGGACGCCAGAACTGAGACGCCCATTACTGCGACGCCGAGTCAAGCCAAGAGAGCCGCTAGAAAAGTGAATCTGGACTGTCTTGCCTCTGCAATTGGGTGTAAGGAGGTTTTACAAGATTTCAAAGATATGGTTAACATATTGCTCGACATGCCGGGGAGAGCCGGCTCTGATATCGATACTGCACTACGTATGTACGACACAGATCAGCAACTCAACTGGAGTGTCGACTCCGCACTTCAGGTCTATAATCAAGAGAATCCATCTCCGCCTCACTCAACTCGTAAAGGATAACTTGAGAACGTCTCACGGGCTGTTGGTGGGAGAGTCTAGACTGCCCTTCAACTGTTCCATCGAGGGCGCGGCTATCAGACGCTAGGCGCTATTCAAAAAAATCTTGTAGTATTCCAGGTCTCTCGACTTTTCCGTACTTTGGAAAGCTATTTTCAAGAAGAATTTAGGAAACGGAGAAACGCTAAACGTCGCAAGACGGGTCCGGAGATAGCACCCGGGGAACCTGGGCATGGTGGTAATAGTGAAGCGTATAATATGCTTGCTCGTACCTACGGTTCCGAAGATGTAGAAAAGATAAAGGCGACTCTCAAAAGTGCCAACAGTCGTGGTTCATATCTTCTCCAATATGAAGCTATATGTGGCCGAGACTATCCTCTATGGATGCTCCTACCTGTGAGAAATGTTCAGTGCTCATTACACAGGGCGTGTACAGTCCAGTATTCAGGGTGAGTTTCTTAGCCGTCATCTTTCCACTGTTCCACATGCTAATTATCCTGGAGGTATTTCAACCTTAATCAGGAACAAACATATGAATTAGTTAACCAAGTGAAGACACAAAAGCTGCAGTTATGGGAGTCTTTACTAAAGCTAGAAGAGGAAATGGGCAATATTTTTCGTGGCGAGCCAGGCGACCTCTCGCTTATAGAAGGACTGGGAGACGTTTCCGCTGTATCCCTATAGAGTATATCTTCCTTAACTTCCTAAGTTCAAAAGCCTTTTATTCTAGCTATCACATTCTAGCGATATTATATAGAATATACCTGATACATTTCGTGTGTGGGATATGGCCCAGATAATTAATACAATATCTAGAGACTTGGGCTTAAATGGATTGTTTTGAATATTAGTTTATCTAAGCTATTTTCTCGATTTTTACTACTAGCTATGGTTTTGATATTGCTTTCCCCAGGAGCCAGAATAATTATACCAAGTCTTTAATTGATGTTTGCGCCTATTTCGCTTCCACCGGTAATATTGAATAGACCTAGGAATTAACAAGATCCTAACCTAGTCTTAAGCAGAAAACCTGTCTCTAAAAAAATGATTGTTTCAGCTTCAGAGAGCTAATCTCAAGCGCAACCTTCTCCGTGTTTTTATTCACAGTTGTCTTGAAGCTAAAATACCAGTCCACGAGCTGTTTTAGGTGTGATTCCACAGATAATAATCGACTTTGAAAGTTAGACTGTTAATATAATCTAGATTTCTTAGTTAATTAACTATCTCTCCCTCAGCGAGAGAAGTACGTACTCATTTTGAAGCCTTGTACATATAGTATTAAGCTTATTAACACGCTGTTTAGGCTTCATATATAAGAAATTCAACTTATTCAGCTGGCTTAGGGTATCCGTGCCTAATACTTGGTTCTCTGAGCCTAATTGCGCTTGTTGAAGTTGGGCAGAAAAATCTATAGATTCCGAATCGAAAGTTGGGCAATTAAATGGATCGAAGGATAGGGACTTAGGATCGGTACAGTGAGAATTTAGAAAAGAAAAGTTGTCATCGAAGTCACTGGGCTCAGAGGGTGCTAGCTCAGGTAGCTGAGTACCATTTATAAAGTACTCGTCGGCGAACTGATATAGAGAAGACATCTTGGAGTTGTTGATAGTTCCTATGTCGCGAGCGGACAGTCAAACTTATGAACCTAACAGAGATACCTCTAGAAGAAACCGAAGTACATAGGTATACGGGCCGTCGGACTCTCTAATCCTAACTATGTCTCCTTTTACTGACACAGCCTCCATCTCGGCCCTGTCCTAATAGATATAGTCTCGAAGGAGGCATTATATAGAAGGGCCCCGATTTAGATTTAACTGCGGTGCTCTAGCCCCTCCAGGCTTGAAATAGATCTAAGCTTATTTAATTTCGGAAGGTACGACTGTTAGAGAAAGGGTAGATCTATTAGTATAAAACAAAGTGAGTATCTCTATAATCTTAAAAAGTCTCGACTAAAGGTACTATATGTACATTTTCAAATCTTCAGAATGACAACCTCTCAGGCCTCATCAACAGTAAGGAAGGCTACTAGTCCGAACGCTATGGTTCACTACTAATGAATAATAGGGAATGTAGACTGCTTAGTCTTGCGTTATATGTGTCGAATAGAATCTCAATATGTTATCCGCGGCGGTCAACAGCTGCCAAGGATCTCTACGCCTGAGTCATGAATTGATAGCATCAGACAATTTTGCCCGATTTTATGTAGAGAAGTGCCGCTAATATCACGAACTGAATCTTAGTCTCTTTCGGGAAAAAGACGAGATGGCAAAGGAGATTGATCGTCTTCGCGGGAATCTCGCCATTGCTAATAGGGATATTCACTAACTTAACGAGGTTAACGATGTTTTACAAAAGAAAATATTCGAGCTCGACAGGGTAAACGACAAAAACAACTTGGTGAGCACCTAATTTCCTTATTATGGGCATTAATTGAAGGGCTGAATAGGAAGCTAAGGATCTCAAAGCCAAGGTAGCGTTCCTTGAAGCTGAGAGGCTGGAAGCGGGTTGGCCTAGCCCTATTCGCATTATACTTCCACCCTATCAAGGTGAAAGCCTCTCTCCGCTTAGTCCGGAGTCTTTTCTCGACCTGAACGAAGGACGGTCAGAGCTGGTTGATATAGTGTTGGAAGGTAGTGAAAATTCAGGAGAACTATCTCAATACTAGGGAAGAGGAGGTAGGGAATGTAATAGAGGGCCTGCTGCTGTCGTTCGGAATCGCTTAGGTTCATAAAGCTAGCTATAAGGACAGCCTATTAGCTATGGACCTTGGCAAATGGCGCCTCCTACCGCTAGTAGAGGTAAACAAGTCCACAAATGGGCTATAAGGCTAGCTAAGAGAAGGTAATTAGGCTACCCTTACTATTAGAGATTAACATAAAGGTTACATAAAATAGGCGGCGGCGGGGAGTTATTTTTATAAAGAGTTGTACTATCTAGCTGTCAGAGAGCTTTTGGGGTGGGATCGTTAGACGGAGAGTCAGAGGGTTTCAACACGTATCTTGATTATATAAAGCTATCCTTGAGACATCGACTTCTCGCACTGTTGAGGGCTTCTCCAGCAGTGCGAGAATAGAGGTCCTATTTATCTCTTTCCTATGTATGCCTCGTGGGGGCCGCCTTGGCACTTGGGGGCTATTCGCCCCATGGGGTGTTGTCGGCCGGGAAGCGCATTGTAACAGTCATTGTAACAGCCCTGCTTCCCGGGTGACACTAGCTCCGTTTTGATTTTCGTTTAAGTACCGGATATACATAATTAATAATGCCTTTACTAGGTAAGGAATACTACTAGACCACTCGTAAAGGAAGAACCTTTATGGCTAATGGGATACTTTCTTTACTTTATTAGTTAGTGTATTATTATCTTTTAGAGGAATCACGAGGTTTAATCGCGGGATTTGGAACCGCTATGCTCCATTTTAATCTTTCGAAGCTGACCGTGTTAACCTAGTTAGTCTATCTCCGAGCAATGGGGACAAATAAGATATTTAGGGCTAGTATCGCGAGGTAGCCGATCTGATTCGCCTTCTTGAGATTAAGGCCTCTCTAGGCGTCCATAATATATAAACCGTCTCTGGTTTTAATCACTTGAAATCTTCAAGTTTTCAAGCACTTACTCAGCACCCTTTCATAAGCATGGATGGATCCCGAGCGCAGTCTGATCCTAAGAAGCCTTCTTCAAATTTCAATAACTTAATTGTCAGTGCGGCTGATAATAATTACGAAGACTGGAAAAACATTTCTAATCTTACGGAACGGCGTCGAGCTCAGAATCGGAACGCTCAGGTGTGCTCATCCATCAAGCCCTATATGATTTTTACTCACAATCACAATAGCGAAAATACCGAGAGAAGCTTAAGATGAGACTGGAAGAATTGGAACGAATAAACCTCGCAGCATCTCTTGGCAGCCGACCTTTCGACTCAGGGTCGACAGGAGAAGTGGATGATGAATCCTACGGTAAAAGAGCACAATCCGCAATCACCAACCGCCGACAGCCTATATCTAGGGCAGAGAAGTCGACAGCTGAAAAGGCTAAAGCTGGGTTTCCCGTCACTCTTGCGCTTGCCGATTAAAAAGCCTTAACCTCTCCAAGGGAAAAAAGACAATATGTTACCATTTCTACCGGTCATTACGGCGATCAAATAGGAAGCAACTGGACAAGCTCGCCGACTATCCTCACCCTCTGCACGCCCCGCACGGTGTATGGCAGCGAATGCGGGATGGATGATTATATCATTAGTCCGTGGGTCACGGCATATGCTTCCTTAGCGGGCTTAGGGATACCCCAGCCACTAAGAAAGCTAGAACTCCAGCCAAGCAGTTAGTTAAGTTTACATTTTTACTATATACGCTAGTATAGAGGGCAAAGTATAACTTAGCGAAATATATCCGGTCAAACCTCTTGGAGAGGAGATCGATGAAATTAGCCATCAGTAGTTAGTTATCATAACCATGACAAGGGGAGCTGTAGACTAAGGTCCGGAAAAGTAGGGTGAGAAGAACTATGATATGTATTCTCTATAGTAAGTAAGGCAATCCTCTGAGGAAGTATTAGAATTCACTTCGTCTCAATGGCTACACGAGGATGAAAGTAAGTAACATCGACCCTGTAGCTACCCACGGCATCGCTAAGAATACTGATCCTCTTTGCGCAGTAATCCCAATTTCTCCTCCGTATTTATTAATTATATCTACCCCTCTAATAATTACGAAAGTTACAATGGTAGAGGCTATTGTAATTGTGAGAAGTGTCGGCTAATAAAGAGGAGTGTTAGAGTACTGGTATTAATAGGGAGTATAGTGATAATAATTACCACTTTAATCATAAGGTTCACTAATGTGGAAATTTATCGCCTATAGAATAGTTTCCAAGCAGTAGCCACTACTTCAACCCCTGTGAGTATAATACTTAGCCAGTAAAAAATACTCAAGATCATACTAGGAATCTTGAGAGCGCGCTCCAAAAGTATAATAGTAGAGGGCCAATGGAGATCTTCTAAGGTTATATCTTCGGGAAGATAATACTCTATAGTCTCCGTTAGATTAAAGTTAAATACCATGGTGTGATTAGAGCATTCTGACGAGCTCAGAAGAGATTGCGCTATATTTGGAGCGTAGTTGCCTGTGCAATAGCCCATTAGATATATGGTGAAGAAGTCTAGAAGGTCTAGCGTATGTGCAATATCAGAAGTGGCATCACCAAAAAGGTTATTAATGCCTCCCTTGATATTGTTTCCAAGCCCACTAAGGAAGCTACCGTCCCCTTTAGTAGTATTGAATATACTCGTGTGACTAATGCGAGATAAATTTAACTAGTTTCTCATTAGAGAATAGTCATACCGCTATGGAAACTACTTTTATACCGTCAGCAACTCAGTATTCCCAAGAAAAGATTTTCTAGACCCCGCTAAGATATATAATAGGGATATAATTAGTGATGTAAAAGAGTAGGCTAACCTAAAAAATAATAATAGTCGCATAGTTAATGGACTTCAAAGGGTCGATTATAAAAAGGGTATATCAGTAAGGAAAAGACGATAAGTAAACAATATAATAAATGTTCATTTTCAAACCTATACTATATAGAATAATTAAAATGGAAGTAATAATAGAAATTCCATTTACCTAGTTAGTATTTATCTAGGAACCCATATACCTTAAAATATCCTCTAATGTTCTATATTTAGCTTTATTTAGTAGTGAGATCTAGTATGGGCTTCTTAGCCTCATTATTTCACTATATAAGTAAATTTTCGCTCGATTTGTATCTTCCACACTACCCTATTCAAAACCCAGTCGTTTGATGACCTTTGCTTATGTTTATTCAGGATGAAGAGGTTCAACCTATCGTTTCTTATCCTTCTACCTATAGCTCAGTTATCCTTATCTAACCCTTTAAACAGCCCCAATCTCTTTCGTCGAGATTGTCAAGGAGGCGCACTTATAGTATTGGAAGGTGCGGCGTGCGATATTAGCCAACCGAATGCCTTAGAATGCTCAGATAATTACTTTGATATAGTAAGCTCCTTCAGACCTTATGTTAGATCAATACACAGTATTAACTAATTATTTAAAGCTTTAATGTAGCTAATAGTCTTCTGATCCAAATGCTTGACTAACTACCGCCGTTACTTCGGATTCCCCATATAGTTGGTCCTTTGTAGTTGCACACTGTGGTTTTCCTTATTATGGAAAGATAAATGATCAGTATCAATGTAATGGTCCAAGTCCTAGTGTGTAGAAAGCCATTTATATAGCTTGAGGTTGGAAACTCATAGAATCTAGACATATAAGAGAATGACTTATAGGTTTAGGCTTTGACATGGGTCGGGTCGGGTCGGGTTAGACCCATAGCCCGCTATATTCCGCACTAGGGGCGACGACGAGGTCGATTTTAACGATGTTAGTATTGTTACTACTAGTATTTGTCAGGAAGAGGTCCACAGCCCCTTGGGGATCGCCCAAAAAGACTAAGAATCCTGTCATTTCATGACAGATCTTGGACCTCTTAGCTTATATGCTTGTCATTCATGACATCTTGGATGATGAGTAAACACTTGCCGAACTTGTTGGTCTCTCGACTTCTCCCATACCAAATCTCGTACCCTGAAAGTAGCACTAGCTGGAGGAGCGGTAACACCAGGTGACTGGCCGTACTCAGTCTTCGAGAGCTTCCCAGTCCCGAGAGATAAAATCAAATCGGTTGGGGTTGACGGGTATAGGGCAGCTGCTTCTGAGAAAGCTATTGCGATTGGATCGTTTGAGAGAAGACCGGCATCCTGAAATGTGCCTATCTTAGGAATATATTTGGTAGGGAAGAATCTGATGGACCTTGTTAGTTACGAATGAAAGATCTCATCCTGGATACTAATATCGGAGCGGTAGACGTAGCCCTCGCTCTAGTTAGGTCAGCCTTAATACGCCGTTTGGGAAAGGTTTAACCTACATCTCCCAGAGTGGAACGTTTTCCCCTACTTCTTCCATGTTTTCTAAAAATGTGGTGAGAAGATAGTCAGAGCTTCTTATGACATTCACTCACCTTGATTCTTCATTAGTTGCCGACCTTTAATATAATTAGCGAAAATCCGGCACGACGGCTTCTTTAGCGCCGTCGCCGCAAGTACGTATATTTTTGCCCCTAACTTAGTGGTATAGGAGTAATCTAGCATCCTTGTTTCGGGTCCGAGAGTATTCTGCAGGACCGACTCGAGGCCTTCGGGCTTATAGAGTCCGTCTCGACCGTAAAGTCGAAATATCTTCACTAGTCATGATATAAGAGGGATACCGAGGGCGTTCTCCTACTTGAAAGAGTATTTGGCTAGATTTAGGAAAGATTCGATACACTCTTCTATGGGCTAACCCTTATAGTATATGGTTACCGCCGTAATACTTCCTATTAAACCATTAGCTTCGATAACTTACCTAGGTTGAGAAGTAAGTATACCTGAACTAACACTAGCGACTAACTTGAAATATTTCTGAATCGGTATGGGGAGACTAATCCGTTCCTAGATCCTCTTTATTAACGTTAAAGGAATAATAGCCCGAGTTCCCCCACCGTCGAGACATAAAATACTCACTCCACGTGTAGGAGCTTTCACCGTGACTATAATCTCCGTTACCTATTGTAACGTATAGAGAAAGTAGGAATTAAATCGATAGACCTATAGTTCACTCGGTGTTACTTACCCGAAAATTTGATAATAGGTCTTATACACTAAATGGCTATAGAGGAGATAATATTGTGGAATCCGAAGGATATAAGAGAAATAGGTATCCTTACTATAAATCTAGCTCTAAATATCCTTGTACCTTTGAAGGTTTATCAAATGGATAGTCGCACTAGAGGCGCCGGGTATTGAAATTAAACTCTGAAAATATTTAACTAGGTGCTTCTGAATCTCGTTCAAAACTCCTATCCGTAAGATCACATTAGATAATAACTCGAAAGAGATGATACGCTCACTAAGGGTATTATTAAGAGCTTATTAGTATATTTCTTAGAAGAGGTGTCGTAGGTCGAATACTAATTTAGGGTTAGTATTCTGAATATTTTAACGACTAAGTACCTACTATAGTAGTCTGGGGGATAGCTATCTAAAAGGAAACTCGAAGTAACTACCGGAGTAGTAAAATTGACCATATCTTCCGGGTCCTATAGTGTCGGATAAGGTTTTCAAGGTGGTTTTTCAAGTCTAGAGCTGCTGGATTCTGGATTCGAGAGGCTTGGATGAAATTGAATAGCTATGTTATGGATTCGGAAAAGTACTTATACGCTTCCTCGACAAATACCATTAGGTGAGTTATAGAGTATAGCGTTTGCATTTCAACTCTATGTTTTCGCGCCCTATCTAACGCCCCTAATAACTTCTTCTTTGATCGATTCCAATCCGGAGAAGGCCCTAAAGTACGGAGAGGGTGGATAGTAATAACTTCAAGGTTAGATATAAGGTTAAATAAGTCATCATTTGCACCCTACTCTTTCAATAACTAGAGGAACGCTTTCTTTGCCTCTCTTTCCCTCTAAGCTATTAGGGGCATCTTATCGGTAACAATAATAATAGTTGGTTTCGTTAGAGGCGGTGCTTTTAAAACGGCTTTGTTACGTAGCCAGCCGCTAAGATGACGTATAAGGGTTAGAAAGCCTCCTAAGTCCGAAGTAAAGAAGCAGAAAACGTCCGCAAAGGGTAGGAGTAGACGGCTATGGAGTGCTTATTCAAGTCCATCTGGACAATATGACTCAGAATTCCTGAGAGCCTATCTGTTTTTCTCATAGTAGCTGGAGCTTGTTATGTAATATCGAAAGCCTCTGGTGTTGAGAGCGCCCTTAGCGACTATTACTAGTCTCGCGGAACACTCTGACCTAGATATCATATGCAAATTTAGATCTCCAGTATACTACTTACTTTTGAAAATTCTTCTCCGCCTAATTCCGAACATCTTCTCAAGGGCAATTGACTTTGTACGCTCCCCGATAAATACATATAAGCTCGATTTGGCATTGTCCGGATCAACTACGCGGCTAAGTAGCGCACGCAGTCTATTAGACTCGAGTAGAGCGGTCTCAAAAGCT